GTGGCAACCTCTTTAAGTTATTCTTGACTGTGTTGGAATGACTACTTTGATGCGTTGCAATAGGGTAGGGCATTGTTTTGATGATTACATCAGAAAAAAAATTTATTTTGCTTTTATTTATTTCATTTATATTTATAATTATAATTTTTTTTCTTGTATATCTAAATATCTGAAATATCTGAATATCTGAACGTATATCTGAAATATCTGAATATCTGAAAGTATATCTGAATATCTGAAATATCTGAATATCTGAAAGTACACTTAACATCAGTCAGTCAAGCATTATAATATGATATTATGATAATTAAGCATTATATGATGATGGAACTTTAGTAATTAGAACAACCATGTATGAATGCATATTTTTCATTTTAACTGAATTTAGGACTGGTGGTGGTGCTTAAGATATTGTTTGTCATTGAGTGTTTCTATAAAAAAAGGGAAAAAATTAAAAGAATACTGATAAGATAACAATACTACTACAATTCTACTACTAATAACAATATAAAACGCACTAAGGATTAATGAGCTGCTGGGTTCATGAATATTAAACAGGTTGTGTGCGTTCGCTCAAACAAATCAAAATAGGGACGATAGGTGAGCGCCAGCCATTGAGATTGCCGTTTGCGCATTAGCTCCGCCACTACCGGAGAACCCAGTAGTTCTTAAAAGCTGAAGAATTCCAAAGGAACTCCGTTATTTTGACAGAAAAATACAACAAAGAATATTGTTTACATGTAGCGCATCAGTTCTGCATGGTATGAATTTTGCAGCTAGTGCAGCTGTGTTGTCATCTTCTCCAAGTATAAGGGGTATTTTCTCAGTATCACTAAGTTCAGTAAATTATTCTCTCTCTCTCTCTGCGTGCGTGAGACAAAGCAACGGTGAGTCGTGCACCTTTACTCGCATTGTAGAGAGTTGTTCTCTGGGTCTCAATCGGGCTCAAATTGATATGCAATATTGACGACATCATTGTTTATAATACAACCGGAGTGCATTGTGAGGTGAGGGACGTGACATTTCTGAACGTGCACTGGCGGTTTAGCGAATCACAACACACTGGGCCAGCTGACCAATCTGAGCCCATTGTGTATTTCTGAGGGAGGGGCTTCATAAAAACAGGAAATCAGAGTGTTTATAGGAGAAGGGACAGAGCGGTGTAGAATAAAGGTAAATGATGTTTTTGTTTTTTTTAAAAGAAGCATTAACATGTTAGACTGCACCCCATAAACACAATCAAGCCTAGAAAAAAAAACTGTCAACCAGCCCTTTAATAAAGCAGTCACAGGCACAATGCTCAGCATATGATTCTCTTATTTTTTTGTATGCAACACTTCTAAAACTTGGCATGAACACATCTGTGACCTTAAAACCAGAAGCTGTGTCATTTGTAAAGATATATTGCTTTCGATAATGCTTTTTTATTCTAGCGTGACAGGTTTGTCCAGACAGCTCTCAGTATGGCATCATTTTCAGAAGAAAAGATACAATGAGACATGACCAAACATGATGTCAACCCATCATGTGACAGAAGCCACATGTTAAAAAATAATGAGATTCTGTAGTGACTTATCTGTGATTCTATGATAAAAACAGCATATAATCTACAACTGAACATTTCCGGGTCATCAATGATACGTGACGCTTCTTCATCTCAGCCTACTCTTCAGGCTTACACAAGAGGAGACGAATCCGTTTGAATTAGTGAGGTTGACTCTAGTCTAACCCCAGTAAAGTCAAAAATTTAAAGCTAGACAAATCTGCTATTGAACAACAGGAGCAGTCTTTAAATCTGAAACAGAAACAGCCGCTTCCCTTTCTTCAGCTCTTCAAGAAAAGTTGTGCAAGTATTTGAGCAATAACTCATGTAGCTACCACCATAACTTTCAACATTAAAGGTGCCATATCAGTAATCTCTTTATTATTAAATTATTAAACGTCCACATATAAAGCTTTTGAACTAAAACGGTCCAAATTTAGGGTAGACAGTTAAGCAGTCGTTTTGGAAGAGTGGCTTCAATATAAGCTGTTTTTAGACTAACAACAAAGTTTTGAGTTCTGAAACTTACAGGATATTTTTATAGTACAATGACCTCTTACAGTATATGTCAAAAGATCAAGGGAATTTTGATTTCTCAGTTTATGACCCCTTTAAATAATAGTACAAGATAAAAGGCATGTGTGTACACAATAAGTACATTGTATATATACGGATTAATTTAAATCTAATTAGTTAAAGACACTTGATAGAAAGTGGGTCCAACTTTTCTTTAATCTGCAGCAGTGCCATGGTTATATAATGTTTAAGCAAAATAGCATTAGCTCAGGTTTGCATTCTTTTAGTTTGACACGAATGCCAGATAACAAATAGTGCAGAAATGTTCAGTAGAATTCCTTAGATCAGTTGTGGCATGTTCTGCTCTGAACTAATATTGCTAAAAAATAAGTTACACAAAAACAAATCATTCAAATACATCAAGTACTGCATTTGGACTAGTTATTACATGGTCAATCACAGCATGTTTCCTACTTAGCTAATTGTGTTTAAAATCAATATTTATGTCCATGTACTTCATTTATTAATTAACTGCATAAAAACCGGGATAATATATAGTTAGCTGACCATTACAGCAAAATAAACTGATCCGGACCATGACAGAAAACAGCATCTTAATCAAACAAGTAAATAAAGTTACTGTTCAGCACGTCATACAAATGTGCCTGAGCAAAGGTTTGTAACCCTGTACTTATTTACACAAGATCCTGGGTATCATATACCAAGTCAACAATTTAAAATAATTGGCAGAAAATTAACTATTAATGTGAGCGTCAAAATGAAACTGAAACAGAGATGTTAACACCTGTGCAACTCTAGAATCCAGTGTCAGCTGAGTCTTAATTACTCGGTTATCCAGTGCATTAACATGACAGGATCTGGATCACAGCAGCTCACTGTGACATATGACAGCTAGTGCTGCTCTAACAAACATACGGAATTAATTCCACCCCAAAAAAAAAAGATCTACATCTAATACAACGCATTCTGTCCCATAAACGGCTTCGGCAAAAGGTGAGGCATGTTACACAATAATGGAGCTCATTATTTCTATGTGTAACAACTGGACCATTGTACGTCTACGTCCTACAGGCACCAAAGCGTTTCTGAATAATAAACTGTAGAATAACGAGACTAAACTGTGTACAGTTCACCCAGATTAAAGGTAAAAATATGACGGGATAACGTTAACCCATACAAAACAAGCGACACAATGATGATGATGATAATTTTGATAGAAAGTATTAATTACGCAAAGTTACTGTTCAGCACGTCATACAAATGTGCCTGAGCAAAGGTTTGTAACCCTGTACTTATTTACACAAGATCCTGGGTATCATATACCAAGTCAACAATTTAAAATAATTGGCAGAAAATTAACTATTAATGTGAGCGTCAAAATGAAACTGAAACAGAGATGTTAACACCTGTGCAACTCTAGAATCCAGTGTCAGCTGAGTCTTAATTACTCGGTTATCCAGGATCTGGATCACAGCAGCTCACTGTGACATATGACAGCTAGTGCTGCTCTAACAAACATACGGAATTAATTCCACCCCAAAAAAAAAAGATCTACATCTAATACAACGCATTCTGTCCCATAAACGGCTTCGGCAAAAGGTGAGGCATGTTACACAATAATGGAGCTCATTATTTCTATGTGTAACAACTGGACCATTGTACGTCTACGTCCTACAGGCACCAAAGCGTTTCTGAATAATAAACTGTAGAATAACGAAACTAAACTGTGTACAGTTCACCCAGATTAAAGGTAAAAATATGACGGGATAACGTTAACCCATACAAAACAAGCGACACGATGATGATGATAATTTTGATAGAAAGTATTAATTACGCATTCGCTCTTAGCATGTCAAGCACAACCTTTTGATGATTGTAAACAGCAAGATCAGATATAACTGAACATTAGTACTTGGAAATATGATCATATTTAATGCAACGGACAGATGGCTGTGTGTGTGACAGCAGCGCTTGGGCTCAGCAGGTGATCCAGGATCAAATCCAGACAATCTCTACTGTATCGTAGGCCGCAGTCCGTGATCACACATACACACATACGACCTGTTTGGGAACACGCAGCGTACCAACCTCGCCTTGTAGAGTGTAGAATTACATTTCACGTTGCCATGATCCTTAGAGCTGTTCTCTCATACTCCTCTCAGGCGACAGCACCCATTTCTCAAACTAGTTCTTTTCCGGAGTATTTACATGGACAACGCTTGTGCTTCCTGTTTTGTGGTAATGTGCCAAGTGTATCCAATCACAGATCTGTTGTGGACGACAGAGCCAATCAGAGGGCGAGGTCATAGAACCTTGGCTTGAGTGACATGGAGAGCAGCCAATAAAAATCACGGTATTTGTGTCAGGTTGAACGCAAGGCTGGAAACAGTAGATTAATGATTAATTAAACTGTCAAGGAGGGGGAAAGAAAACGCATATACAGTAATTAAGATTTTTACCAAAGTAAATAAAAAACTAATTATTTAAAGTGGTTTTCAAAAAAAAGTAATATAACTGAAAATATTTTTCTTAAGGTATTGACTTTATCTGTGGTACGTTGCAAATAACATGATGTTATCTATAAATTTAAGATATGCTTAATGCATTAAATGCACTATATCCATTTATTTATTATAGGAAATATATAACATTGAACAGTGCTGTCAATGCTGGAAAATATTTGACTGAATATTAAAATGTGGGAATATATTAGTATGTTAAAGCGTTTTTGTAAAATCCCTTTTGACAGAACTGACTACTTTTGCCACTGTACTGCAAATACAATCAGATTAGAGATCAATAATAGATTGTTCTTTCTCATGCTTTTCTGTCCAGTCCCAACCCTTCATGACTACAGAAATAAAGTGTACTGTTGTCTCATCAAACCATAATCCCCATATAAGCCTCAAAAAAAAAAATTTTCTTTATTTAGAACAGTGAATAATTAAAATATTTTAACAGGCACAATCAAATAAGTCATGTTTCACAAACAAAAGGCACAACACATTTACAACTTGAAATATATCAATATACATGTCACAGTTTAAAATAAACTTCCGTTTGTGATTCCATAAATAGTCCAAAATATTCAGAACTCCATCTATGTCTTGAATAAATATTAGGAGTCTCCATTAATGCACTGCCTGTTTGATATATAACATACATAGCAGTGGAGTAATATCTTGTGGAAGAACACTTCAAAATGAAAGCAAGATGTCTATGGGGCCCTTCCTGTTATTTGCTGACTTCCTTGCACATTGTACACCAGAGATTTGGCCTTATGAGTCAAGTTGCACTTCACTTTTCCCACATTTCCACCAGCTTTCCTATATTCATGCCCCAAGCCAGATGCAAAGGTATAAGCCATTTAATTAACCGTTAGCTTAGTTTGTTAGACTCAAGTAAAGGAACAAAGAAAAGTCTCCCAGTAAATAGGGTTCTGCAAAGTAACACATCTGTCATCTGTAAAGTCTACAGACAATCATAGCTAAAAGGCCAGTGAATGTTATTACAGAGTAAAGGTTACTTTAATTAAACCACATTTTAAAATACTTTATGGTGTTCCAATTTAAATGAGAGGATGTCCATAGAAGACAAACTTAAGAGTGGGATTAAAATTACTTCAACTTTGTTCCTTGCCATGTTACACATCATCAATTTATTGTGCTATGAATGAAGGTATATGTTAGTTAGCCGTTAACCAAAAACCTATTAAGTGTGAGATCCAAACATTGATTGTACAAATACTCCCATTCAAGAATCTCATATGCACGAAATCTTCTTCACACAAATATGAATTCATCAGCATCACTAAGCAGGTTATCATTATTTTAAAGCATGTGTGAATCAGTTGACATTTCAGCAGCAGGTGTTGTTTCAGAAAAAGCGCATAATAAATATACTAAAATAAACTTCAGGATGCAAGCGTGTCCTGTGGTGTGATGAGCACAGGGTTCAGAGGTCAGAAGTTAATGAGGAGGTCACGTTCCTGTACACTGGTAAGAAAAGACTTCCCAAAAACAAAGGAGTGAAGGCCTGCCCGGAGCTTCTCCGTCATCGCCATGATGATATTCAAGTCACCCTCCACCGTTAAGGCCAAATCAGTTTTCAAGTTGCGTAGAGATCTGAAAGGTTTTTTGCCCTTCTGCCTATAATTAATAATAATTAATAACACAATGAGTCTACCGTAAAATAAACAACATAATCGCAACTTTAAAATATAGCCAGGTATGTTGAAGGAATACTGGAATTCATGTTTATCAAGTTTAACTAAAAAAAGGAGACCTTTTTTTAATTAATTAAAATTAAAATTTAATTTGAATTTAAAAAGGAGAGCTTTTAAATTAATTTAAATTTAATGTGAATTTAAAAAAGGGGAACTATTTAGTTTTTTGCTTAGATTGAAATAAGCAATGCAGAGCAGCTAAAATAGATAAATATTATATTAAATCATTTTCTATTTATCGATAAAATTTCATTGCAATATTAATGACTTGTATTAAATAAAAAAATAAAAACCAGCCTAAAATGTTAAATCATGCTAAAAAAAAATAGTTTACACTAACATTCAAAAATTTGCTGATTTTTATTTTATTTTTTTTTCAAAATAATTTTCCTGAAAAAAAATGTATCGAAATTTAAATGTACCACAAATATATTAAGCAGCACACAACTGTTTTCAACACTGATAATAATAAGAAACATTTTTTGAGCACCAAATTGGCATATCAGAGTGATTTCTGATGGATCATGTGACACTAAAAACTAGAGTAATGATGCTGAAAATTCAGCTTTGCATCACAGGAATAAATTACATTTTAAAAATATTAAAATAGAAAGCAGTTACTTCAAACTGTAGTAATATTTCACATCACTGCATTTTCGAGCAAATAAATGCATTCTTGGTGAACAAAATAGACTTCTTTCAATAACGTTTAAAAATCTTACCAACTCCAAACTTCTGAATGTCAGTATATATCACCCACCTTAGTTTACAGTACATAATAGTACAAAAATTGAGCTTGATATTACTGAAAATTGTTGTCATTCACTGCATTTGAGTGCATTAATTATCTCCAGTAACCACATGATACTTAAATTCTAGTTAAAATATTTCCAATAAATCACACTGTGTAGTGTCTGTAGAAGATGTGAGCTCAAAGCTGCTGTACTTACGTCTCATCCTCAATATATCTGAGCAGTGTCAGGGCCTTCCTGTGCAGCAGGAGAAGGAAGTGGGACAAATACACACTCCGCAGAGACAGACCTGGTTTCAACAGAAACACCTAGAGATCGACAAAGCAGCAAACAAATACACGTTATCGAGGCCAAAGCGGAGGATGTTATTATAAAGCTCAGAAGAAAGGGAGTCGCGCAGACTTACCTCATCTATGAAAGACTTCACAAGTGTGTCTTTGTGCATCACGTCTTGAAATATATTCCTAAGAAAAGCCATAAAGTTTAGTTAGTGATTCAGAAGGTAAAGAAACCTCTCATTTCCTCTTGAGAAACTTTAAGAGCTGCTTTTAATTCTCTTAAAAAAGATTCAAAAGTTGACTACTTGACATGTGACGCAGATTACATGGTTTTTGGTATGTGTACAGTGTATCGAACGAATGATATGGTGAGTGCCCTCAAATGAGATGTAAAATGTCTCTGTTTCACCTCTCAGCAACTCTGTGAACTTTTAATGGAAAAATTCTCAGTCAAACAGTCACTGACAGTCCTTGAAAACAAATCAATGATGCAGCTCTATGCTGGCCACAGCCCTGAACCATGACATTAGCAGAGAGTGGAGAGTATTCACAATTTCAAGGACACACATCCATATACACAAGCATCTCAAAGCTCATTTCTTCATACAGAGAACTCAGATCAAAATACATTTACATTAACAGTTTACATTAACATTACTTAAAGCAATAGTAACACTGAATAATAATCTTACAGCATTAACTAATATTAAAGGGGTCATATGATGCTGCTAAAAAGAACATTATTTTGTGTATTTGGTGTAATGAAATGTGTTTATGCGGTTTAAAGTTCAAAAAACACATTATTTTCCACATACTGTACATTATTGTTTCTCCTCTATGCCCCGCCTTTTTGAAACGCGTCGATTTTTACAAAACTAATCGGTCTGAAAAGCGAGGTGTGCTCTGATTGGCCAGATATCCAATGCGTTGTGATTGGCCGAATACCTCAAGCATGAGACGGAAATGTTACGCCCCTCACATACTGTTGATGCCGTGTCCCGGCCGGAGCGAAGAGACAAAAACATTAAAACCCATTACAAACGAAGCATTTGTTGCATCCAGTGGGGACATAATTACTGATTATAATGACTTATACTGTCTTTTTACGCATTGCGTTGAGTTGCATTGCATCGCGCCGCGTAAACATAAAACTCTGTCTGCATTTGTGATCAGAGAAATGACAAACAACAAGTGCTAACGTTAATCCACACTGCCCAAAACTCGCGTTTGAATCATCAGTGGCAAATCCTTTAAATGAAAACGTACTTACGTGAGTCAGAACTGCCAGCATTTTAGTCTAACGTAACTCTCCCAGGATCAGTAAACAGTCCTCCATAAAATGCGCTGCACACATCTCAATATTTGGGTGGTTGACTCTTAACTTTTATAAAGAATATCTCTTTGGTTTTGAGACTTTAGTGTTTGCAACTTTACAGATCTTCTTTATGCACCAAGAGCTTGTAACACTCCAAAGAGAAAGGAAAAATTGAAATCGCATCATATGACCCCTTTAATGTTAATGTTAAATTCTACATAGCTTTATGAATTAACATGTATACCCAACCATTCAGATGTTTGTTGTCAGCAATATTTTTAAATGCTTTGGAAAGAAGACTCTTATGCTCACAAAGGCTGCATTTATTTGATCAAAAATACAGTAAACAGTACAATTATGAACAATTATTACAATTTAAAATAACTTATATTTTAATGTATTATTAAATGTAATTTATTCCTGTGATGGCAAAGCTACATTTTCAGCAGTCATTACTCCAGTTTTTAGTGTCACATAATCCTTAAAAATCATATGCTGATTTGCTGCTCAAGAAATATTTCTCATTATTATTAATGTTGAAACTGTTACACAGCTTTTTAATGATTTTTTTCAGGATTCGTCGATGTATAGAAAGTTCAAAAGAAGAGCATTTATTTGTAATGGTATAAATGTATTTACTGTCATTCTTGATCAATTTGAAAGCATTCTTGCTGAATAAAAGTATTTCTTTCTTTCAAAAAATTCTTACTGACCCCAAACCTTTGAACAGTAGTCTGTATTAGGAAAGAACATAAATTAAAAACAATTATTAGCATATTTATTAATAAATTAAGATAAATGTATTCCTAATGCATGAACTAATTTGTGAACACTATTGTAAAGCATTACCATATATTTTAACAGGTCCTAAGAGCAAATAATATTTATTTGTGTTTTTTGTATCAAAAAACAAATTTTTAATATTTGTATTCAATGACCACTAAACTATCCTTCGTCCCTGCTATCAAACACTGAGCTAGTTGATACATCTTTTATCGCTCTGTGATCTCTTTCTTCTCACATTTAATCTCTTTATTAATTTGGTAAGTAGTCATATAATAAGCAGGATAATGTACAGTCAGTAGGTCATTAATCACCAGCAGTCAGCATTAATCCAAAAAAATATATAAACCTTCGAGACGAAACAAGATCCCTTCACTCTGCAATAATAATCAACTCACTGTACAGTATCCCTTAAATATAGATTTTGTGTATTTGAATAAAAGACCATGATATCTTGTTATCCTGTCAATAAGGATCAGTCAATCATGATACAGTTTCCAGACTAAGAAGGTATGTAGAAGTCAAAGGTCATACAAGTCTGGTGTGTAGGAGTCTTGGGCATTGATGAGGTTGTCAGAACTGATGTCATCCTCGCTGGCGGCCTTCCAGAGGGCACTGAGCTCAGCTCGCATGTAGCGCCGCTGATGATATGTGTGCTCGTGGCAGGGTGGCATCTGCTTGACCGTGTTAATGTCCACGTCGATGTGGGTGGTGGGGTACAAGGAGTAGAGCACCTGCCGGTAGGGCAACACAAAGCTGCCTGTGGAGTCCTGGGAAAGAGAAATGAGGGACCTTTATAACATTACCACACAGCAAAGCCACCAGGAGTCCTTAAAGGTTATGGACCCATGTAATTAAGTACTGGATATTCTATGCAAATGGGCAGTAGTTATGAGTTTCCCATGGAGGGACACTGTGGATACCTTAAGGAGGCCTTGAACAAAGAGGCCGGTGTCATATTTAAACGAGCCGTCGGGGTGACACAGCCGAGAGCACTTCCTCTCCGCAGGAGTGAGGAAGAGGCACAGCGTGAGCACGATCTACAAAAGGTCTACAATCATTATTCGACTTTCATACTCAGATATGAATGGTGAGAATGTAGATGTGGGAATGTGCACCTTATTGACTTTCTCAGGATTGCTGCCAACCACCATGGAACAGCCACAAGTCTGAAGATGAGAGCTGATAGCCCTATGATAGAGAAGGATGACAAACATGACAACCTAAACAATGAAAACAAGCAACTCAATTCAGATCATTGACTTCTACTAAAGATGCAATATGTCTTACTTGTGTAAAAAGTCTTCGTGACAGCTGTCTCCAATATCATCATCATTGAGCACAGTGTCCTTTAGCTGTAAAGAGGAAAAGTATTCCTTTATGTGCTTCAGTGAGAGTGAGAAAAACATTCAAAATGTTTAATATTTCAAAACTGTCAGAAAAAGATCTCATGTAATTGTCACGGAGTGAAGATCTCTTCCAGCTAGATACATATTGTACACCCTTATGAACTAACCACTGTTTTGTTTGTACAGTGGTATTTATAAATTAAGATTAATATAGTACATCAAATGTAACAAATAATACATTTATTATAAGTATTTACAATGTTCATTAATGAGTCAATGACATGATGCAAATTGTTTTTGTTCTGGATGTTAATTTAAAAATCCCATTCATACATACAATGACTTGAATACATTTCTTCTATGCTGTGATGCATGATTTTATTTTTTCTGAATTAAAATTCATTGTGATTTTTGGGGGGGGGGCACAAAAATGTTAGCGTGAAACTTTCCTAATTTTATAATGAAGAAAAAAACTAATTAATTCCTTTAAATTCTTGAATAACATATTAAGTAGTTTGGCATAATCTTTATTGTTATTTCAGTTCTGCTCACTGCTTAATAGCCATGTTGTTTAACCAACATGCAGAAAAATGCCAAAAAATTATATGATCGAGTGATCACCTGCTCTTATTTATTTATTTTATTTCATTATTCATTTGGCTTATTATTAATTATTGCATTAGTGCTGTTATTTTTTATTACTATTGTAGTAGTACTGTTTTATTTCATTTATTGCATTAGTACTGTTTTATTTTATCTGTATTATTCTATTTTATGTAGTTAATTTTATTTAGTTCATTTCATTATAAATATGGCAGAAGCAAGTTTGAGTCCAGCTCACATACAAATTCCTTCTCTCTCCTCATTATTTCCTATTTACTCTAAATTCCCACTGTAAACAAAAAGTGTCCAGAAGCCCCTCAAATGTGTCAAAATACTCACATCCACTTCCTCTGGTACACTGTGTTTCTTCATGGAGGTAAGAAGCTCCATTATGGGAACAATCTCAGATGACAACACAGAGATTATGTTGTAACCCTACATGATAAAAAACACACAGCACATACATTACGAAAACTAACAAACAATAACTGGATCACAAGTAAAAGATGCACAACTCTGAGTAAAGACCTTCTGCATGCAGATGCGTCCCTTGCGGATGATGTGTTTGAGTCTCTCCACACACACACTGTGCAGTGGCAGGTAAAAGCTTAGCTCTGACTGCGGCAGGATGATTGACAGCGCACAAGTGTTCTTATCACCCTTGAGTTCTCCGTCAAATATCAGCGAGACTATGATAACTCCCTTTTCTGCCAAGACGAAGAACTTCACATCCACTGCGCCACTCTCCGCACTTCGCAAAATCTCACCGTTCAGCGTGTGATTGGCCAGAAACGTGACCTCTCCATCACTGAGAAGCGACAACCCCTGACCTTTGGGGGCCCAGATGTGCTGTACACGAGGTCCCAGGATGTTGTCCCAGTAAGCGAAGGTTGCAGCCAGCACGGGACACCAGTCCTCTACCAGCACTTCAGTCTTAGCCACACCAGGAGACTGCGGGGGACAGGCTGTAGACATGACGGCCACTCACACAGACCTACAGTCACTCTATTGCCAGTCTCACAATGCAGAAGTCAGTGGTGACAAACAGATTGCAACATCCCCCTGCTGTTACACTGCACCCATGCAATCTGTTGAAGAGGAACAGAGAAAATACAGTGGAGTGAACTAGAAAGTGAAACCACTGGCATGACATGTAAGCCAGGACAACAAAACGTTATAAAATTGCATTGTTATAAAAAGCACGAGCTTTTCGACTTAAGAATAAATCATTGGTGTCAAAATTTTAAAATATGTATCTGTACATGACATACATCGAGCTAATCACTACACCTCGACAGTCATGTATAAAACACGTCTGCATTAGCTCGAATAGTCGTGGTAAATCACATTTTTGCTGCCAGTATGTTACACATACAGAATCCTACCTGCTTTGGCTCAAAACAACAACACATTCGTCAACCCTTTTCTTGGTTTCCTGCTGTCATTAGGCTGAAGGCTGCGAAGAAGTGCGCAGCTGAAGCGCAGGGCACAACAGCGCCCTCTGGCGGCTGAAGGAGTAATGTGATTACCCGAGACCGGAGAGACGAGGGGGAAATTCAATTACCTCTCGAGTCGTTTTGTCAAACCATCACTTTAGGCTGTGAGCTGTATTGAGGAAGATATCGCTATTATATTATAGTATCGAACTGTGTTGCAGACTATTTGCAATTATATTACATTGATTTTTTGTTTACCATGCCCTGACACTACCTAAATGCATGGGGTTTCATAGCTAACGTTACTTCAATATGTTATTTAATAACTCGCGAATGACTCTTTCGATATTTTTTTTAAAGATTCAGACTGAATTCGGGACATTAGCATACTATTCTAACTGTTTTTGCCATAGTAAATGTAGTAGTATGCTAGTGTGCGGTGCAGAATTCAGCGTCAGTTAAACAGGTTCGCAAAACAGTCTGAATAAATCCGCCATTTAGACTGAATCAATCGTAGAGTTCACCAAAGGACTGAATCGTTTGGAGCACTTTTTACTTTATAACAACACGGAGAGCTAAAAGAACATTAGATGAAGAGGGTTTTCACCTACAATCTACTGAAACAAACCTTGCCTTGTATCGTTTGCCATCGACCAACGTCTTTATTAAGTTAAACATCTGCGAGAGCAGCTTGTGAATGACTCACTGCAGGTAAAGACATTTTCCAACCAGTACATAAATACAATAATCCTTTACTACTACATGTCATGATACCATCATTGTACAATGATATGCTACTAGAACAGCAGACTAAACTATACTTTGATGTTGCTAAATGTAGGCCTACTGTATGAACAGATATACCCTTACGAAAATTAACCATAGTAGTAACCATAGTTTTATTATAGTAAAAGTGTAGTAACCATTGTTTTTGTCGTATTGACTACCATTTATATAACCACAGTTTTACTACAAATACCATGGTTAAACTAAGGTTAGTGTAGCAAACCCATGGTAATTTTGTGGTTACCGTGGTTTAACTATAACCTTTTTTTGGAGTATAACCATGGTTAATTTTTGTAAGGGTCGTGGGATAGATGTAGAAAGTATCCATTTGTTTTCATGGGTCAATGAGAAGGTGAACGTTAGGATGTAAAATTAAGTGCAGATATGAAATTGAACGAGTGAAATCACCTCAGAGTTCAATTCCCAAATGTACTGATGAAATTTCTCTTGTGGTCACTTGGTCAGCTGCAGTATCATCCTCACTCTTAACCTCCTGATTGGCACATCATCCGTCTACCTCTCAGGTAGTAATACACACCATCGGTCCTCGCTGAACTTTTCCACTGATCTCAATTTTGTGGTTAAATACACCACTTGACCCTCACCACCTCGAACCACTATTGTTGGATGATATATATTGTGCTCTCATCTTTCCATTACAATGCCACAAACCTCGTTGCCTTATTGTGATGGCAGAGAGCGAAGAGAGACGGAGGCATTTCAGGTTGCCATGGCAACAATAGTGAGAAACAGCGTTAGCGACACTTTTAGGCAGCGCCTAGCAACCGTATCCATGCATCCAAAGGCCAGGTTACAAGACAGCACGGGAAGGAAATCATTTGCGCAGGCTTTTGTTAGAGCTGTTGCCTTCTGCTTGATTTGCTTAGCTACATAATGTTTTGGAAATATAGCAACAAATTATTCGCAGTTCAGTACGGATGAGTGTGCAGCTTTGGTATTAGCATGATGAGAAGCTGATTATGAGCGATTCTTGATGAGTTTGTGTGTATGTGTGTGCGTTTCTAAACGTAACCTTCGCGCTCACACGCTCCCTTCGCTGATTAGGGCTCGCTGCGCTGATTAGCAGTTGTCATGTCTGCTCTTTACAGAGTCATTACATCTGCCAGAGTGATTCCCTCCACCCCATTCCTCATCCCATCATTCTGTGGTGTGGAAGAGTGGAGATGCATGGCTCCTGCTCGCCCCAGCCCACACAGAGACGGGTAATGGGTTATTATTTCTAGAACAATACTTCTAATGCCATGGGTCTGAAAAGATCGCAACATGACCATCATGTTAGCGGGCTGAAGCTCAAATCGAGCATGCTTTTAGTGGCGAAAAAGTCAGAACAGAAGGACAAACCTGGCAAACAAACCCATGGGGGATGGTTGTGTTGTGTGATGGTGTAACTGAAGCCACTTTAAAATATGAGAGAGGCTCAGAGATTTATGACTGGGGTTCAGCTGGTGACATGTTGTTCCCCTTTGTTTCTTATTTTGCTTATTTGGCAGGCAGATAGGCACCGCTGGCAAACCTTTAGTCTAAACTCATCCTCCTTCACCATCAGTCAGAGTGAAATATATGGGGAAGATGAACCCCATCTTGGTAATCATTAGCCAACATCCATTTTCCAGCGACGTTAATCCACAGGGTAAAGATCTGAAAGTGTTTTGGGCAGAGCGTTTATTTCCCTCAAAATCAGGACCTTGTGGAAATATTGATTCCTTGTCATTTAGCAGGTGCTTTTTATCTGAAGTGATTTACAGTTACAGTACACTAACTGCAGGGACAGCCTCCCTGGAGCTTTGTCTGGGAACCGAGTGGGTGAAGGAAATCTCGTTGAAATAACTGCTGAACTGGGACTGTTCACAGCAGGGGTTCCCAAACTTTTTCAAGCTATGATCCTATACTGGGGAGGCGTAATTACTCTCAAGAACCACTAAAAATATGTTATAGTTAAATATGAGGGGAAAAGACCAATTTGCTCTCTCATTTTGCTCTCAGTTTTTGTTTTCTATTTCATACTATTGAATTTGGTAGGCTGAGAATTTCATTGCATTACCATAAACTATAAAAATGGGGATAATTATCTACAAAGACATGAATATGAAGTATATAGAAAGACAGAGAATATATTTTTGCTTTTCTGGTGGCACAGCATGTTAGAGCAGCCTAATGGCTTTAGTGGAGTAATGATTCAGTTGAGTGAATTCAGGCGAGTCATTTGTTGATTTAGTAGCTACTCTGACGAATTTGTTGAGTTCATTCTGTGAAGGATTCATCAGACTGATTCAGACTCCTGAGTTTGTGAGTCATACAGAACGATTCAGTAAAACAACCAGCTCATAATACTTGTGAATCGGACTGCCTGGCATTGTATTTTTGTTAAATGCTTGATATATGTAACATCAAGTGTCACCATTTCCAGGTCCAAACACTCTATCAGCTCACAAAAGCAAACAACAAACAGTTTTAGTGATTTATCTTTAAAGTTTATTGTTGAAATTTTGATGTCCGGGGTACTCTGATTCAGACACGGTGCTATAAATAAATAGCACTCATAAACAGCTCTTGAGATAGTCTCGCGGATAGCATGAAATGCATGAGGAGCGGCACCACTGAAAATGGCACAAGAAATACTGCTGTGGTGTGCGATGCACTTGTGTTGCTTCGTGAAAAAAACATATGGTAAGTTATCCCCAATTCAGATTTGAATTTGAGTACTTATATTATTCATTTTCCTGACATGGTATGAACAAACCATCATTTTTACACTCTATGATCCACAGTTTGAACACTCAGTAGGTTATCGACAGGATTTATTTTGCCATAATTAATTCAAGGTATGTCTGAATAATTAAAGTGTTTGTAGTAATATTTGATTTTATGAATTCTTCTTCTTGGGATTACTGATGTGCTGACGTCCTTCTAATATGTTTGTCTCTCTTGCACTTTCTTTTGGGTAGCAGGCAGTTCCCCAGGTCCATCTTGAAGCAAGCCTTTATGCATCAGTTCCTGATACTTTAATGTGTCTCTGAGGAAGACTCATTCACATAGAAAAGTGGCCCCTGCTCATATTTTCATCCCAAACATGTCCTGACAGAACACTGCAAGGTCAAGCACTCACCACAGACCACCATAGTCGTATGATGATGATGCACACTCACACACTCATATAAAAGCAACTTCTTTTGTTTCAGTTTGTGAGTCATAGACATGAACATGATTAGTTCAGGTATATTTAGATGCTTTTGATTGTGTAACAAAACAAGCTCATAAAGACCAGCAAACCTTCAGGGAATTTTAAGGTACTGGTAGTGTAGCACAGAGGTTAACGGTTTGGCCTGCAGTTTCTTTAATACAGCTGGAATACTTTTGTCACCAAGGACAAAAAGTAGTAACCTGAGGCATATTGTCTTGATGGAAATCTCTGTCCTTGCACTTTTGTGTAACACGATCAATCTAAAGCAGTTTAAGTGGAGGAAAGACTTTAAAATAATAATTGGTTTGGATAGGCTAAATTAAATTCGGTGCAGTGCTTATATCAAATACAATTTTTAGCCATCCGTCTTTCCTTTTTAAAATTGAGTTAAGATAGAGTCAGGAAGAAATATAGTATAAATATAGCTTCAGGTTGCAATATACGAGGTCCAACCTGAACAGCAAGAAGTAGGTAATTAAATGCTTAGATGTAACACAACTGACATCAAGACTTGGAATAAGGATTTTAAAGGGGTGGTTCACTGGGTTTTTTCTAGACTTGATTGTGTTTATGGGGTGCAGTCTAACATGTGTTAATGCTTCATTTAAAAAAACACATTATTTTTCACATAATTTACCTTTATTCCACACCGCTCTGACCCTTCTTTGAGAAATACGCTGATCATTTCCTGCTTTTATGAAGCCCCTCCCTCAGAAATACACGATGGGCTCTGATTGGTTAGCTAGCCCAGTGTGTTGTGATTGGCTAAACCGCCTCTAGTCTAAACGTCCCACCCCTCACCTCAGCGGCATGTGTTCCGGTTGTATTGTAAACAACGGTGTCGTTAATATCGCTTATCAGTTTGAGCCCGATTGAGAAGCAGAGGATATTATTGAAGAGGATCGTGCAGAACCTGTGCAAGCACGGCTTTTAATGGTAGGCCTATGTTTTTTGTTTGTTGTCTCATACTTTTAGATACACTGTTATTTGTAAATGC